AGAGACCCTATAAATAGAGGAAACGTTGGCGACCTAGGTTTGCAAAGGCTCAGGGTGACCCGATCACCCCCCTGAACCCTCTCAGCTGCACCTTTGTTAGAGCAGAGGGAGTTTCAGATCCAGGTGAAAGTAGTAAGAGCCAAGGGGTCAGCGTCAAGTGGGATAATTGGCTCCAGGTTAGTGTGCCTTTCTAAGACCCTTTGGGCTTTTCTGGGATTTGGTGAGAACAAAGGGACTTACAGAAACTGGAAACTGCTTTTGGCCATTTTTCATCAGATGGTGCCAAAGACACTGTCCCCAGAGGCATTTTCCCTTTTGGCTTCATGAAGCTGCATTTGCAGGATCTCTGGAGCAAACTTCCCCTTTTGTGGGACCAGGAAGGAAATTGGATGAAGTCTTACAGTTCAGAAACCACAGCGTTCACAGAAAGGACCTTCAGGAACCAATCTAGTCCACTGTTCTTCCTGAGAGAGTTCTGTCACCCACGGAGCTGGGGTCCTTCCTGCCCTTGAAGGGAGTTCCAACAAACCTTCCTTGCTGTCCTCACTAGATGTGATACCTCTCTTCCAGAAGCTGCCCTTTCTGGCTCTCATGGGCCAGCTCTGAGGACAGTTCTCATGTCCTTCCCAGGATGCCAAGAGCTCCGTTTGTGTCCCACCTCTGACTTTGCAACCTCTCTGCTCTCTTTTCCTAATCCATCCTGCCAAAATGGTTTTTGGCAGCTGGAGAAAAGCAAAAGTCAGTGGAGAAAAGCAAGTGACATTTAGTAGCTGGAACCTGTTAGTCAGAGCAGGTGGTACTCTCTGCTGCGTTGGCGGCTAAGTTCCCTCAAGCTAGTCACCATGGTTTTCCTCACTTCTGAAACTTGTGGCTGGTTATGTGTATGTGCTGAGTTTCTCTTTTCTTTTTTTAATACTTACCGTGTTATCTGAAAACTCCTAACCATCTCCTCCCTGACACCCACATAGAGAAGCAATCAACCTGTGTCACCCTACTGTGCTTGCCTCTCACCTTGTACATTAGGGAAACCTCTCACCATCATTCCTTGACCTCTTGTTTGGTTCTTTTCTTTTGTGTGTACGATGGACTTTAAAAACCTTTGCTGCTGGGGCAAAGGTCCTGTGGTCACCTGGTCACCATCCCTTGCTTTTTTCCTCCGGCAGAACAGCTGGGGAGGTGAGAAATGAAGGCCTCATGATTAAGGGTCTTGCCCAATTCCTATAGTACAGCCTGGGCAGATCCACAACTGCACTTCAGTTGACCTAACTCCTCCTGGCTTGGGGATTTTCAGTTTGTTTTCATCCTGCCTTTGACACTGTTCTAAGACATACAAACTTTATCCACTTTAGTCTTGGGTCAATGATGCTAAATGAGACTAGAAGGTGGGAGCTCATCTAGATGGCTTGCATGAGCCACTTAACTCTGCTGGGCCTTGGTTTCTTCATCTGCAAGATGGAGACACAGACGCAAATCCTCTGTCACATTCCTAGATTCTGAGATGAGACTAGTGTCAAGTTAGAATTACAGCATGAATTGGAAAGCACTTTGTATAATTTTAAAAAGTAATCATCCCAGAATTATAGGGTCCATGGCAATGTGGCCTACAAGGGTGGCTGTGGTCCCTCTCCTCAGCACCTGCCCTGATTTCCAGGACTGATGGAGAAGAAATGCCACCAAGCCCCAGGATCTCTGGTGAAGTCTCTAAGGGAAACACCTTCTCCTTAACTGAATAGAAAAGAATGGCCTCAGTGTTGGAGAAGCCAGTTAGGAATGGGGGAGAGGAAGAAGAAACTGGAACATAGGATTCTAACATAATCCTATGTTAGAAAGACATAGGATGTCATGTGACCACTTGGCAGAAGCAACTGGGCAAAGACCAGAGCCAGCTGGCTCCATCCAGGATGCCTGGAGGGAGGTCTTGGGCCTGAGGAAGAGGGCTGGTGCCTGGTCTGGAGGCCTTAGGATCTGACCCATTTCATGCTCATTGCAGAATGTGCACCACTGTCCACTCTGCCTTGACGCCCTGGTTCTGCCCAGAACAGATTCAGGTGGGCCTCAGAGTGCTGCCTCTGGCTGGTCCTGAAGGGATAGTGACTCTATGAGAAAACTTGGCATTGTGTCCTCCTGTCTCCAAGTTTGTCCCAAACTTCACTTCTTAAGAGGGAAGAACTTCCTCTTAAGGAAGTTCCATCTGTAAGTGGAAATGTTGCAGTTGTCGCTTTGTTCTTATCTGGGGAATTCAAAATGAAATGACCTAGGAGATTACGCACCTCAGAAGCTACAAACTCTCAGCTCATGGTGTGGTCTGAAGATGAATTTACCTGGTTTATGAAGTGGGCATCGTCAGTACTGCCTGCAATGAGGATTGTAGGGAGACTCCAATGAGGAAAACCATGAAAATCCTACACTTTTATATAAGTGCTGGTAGCAGGATTGTTTACATCAGATGTGTGTGCTGCTGTTTACACAAACGTTCAGTGCAGAGGTGTAAAGTAATATGGTCAGGGCCAGCTATTTCAGAAGATGTAGGATCATGTTTTTTTTTTTTTTTTTTTTTTTGCAGGGGGGCTTCTACCTGGTCTGACTTTTCTCCTCTATAAGTTTGTTTCTAGAAAAAAAGAAAATCTAGTATGTGTAATTTTGGGGAACTTTTTAAAAGATGACTGAAGCTGCCTTGTGAGATTATGGGCTGCTCTTACAGAGGAAAACCTGCTATTGCTCATTGAGCCCAGATGGCAGGGTTCTGTGTTGCCCATTTAGTCACTGGGGTGTGGAGTCTTACCTGGTCTTCTGCATCCCACCCCTCCTCCCACAGCTCTGAAGCTCTTCAGAGGTCTAGGTCTTTCCAGTTAAGCCATCCCCAGACAAAGCAGCTGTCTGCAATCACACCACAGTTGCCTTGCCCTGGTGGCCCATCCAGGGCCAGCTTGGAGCAGCTGGAGCATCACAGAGCAATGTTACAAGGGCAGGCCATGGGCAGGGCAGCACCAGGCTCTAGGGCATCTGTTTGGTTCTGGTCCGAGAGGATGGATCCTCATCTGGATAGCTGGTTCTGATGTGTAAGCTCCACCGACTGTACTGTAAGATGTTGCTCATCCACGTAAAGAGCCTCCGGTCCGGCGTGGTGGTGCATGCCTCAGATGTTCCCAGCTACTTGGGAGGTGGAGGTGTGAGGATTATGAACCAGTTCTGGCCTGGGCAAAATCATAAGACCCTATCTGCAAAACAAACTAAAAGCAGAAAGGGCTTGGAGCATGGCTCAAGTAATTGAGTACCTGCCTAGCAAGTGCAAGGTTGAGTTCAAGCTCCAGTACAGAAAATACAAGTGAGGCATTTCATTGCCAACAATATGAGGAATGAAATTGGCCACAAATAACAGAAAATCATACTAGAATCATTGTAGAGAGCTCTTTCGTGCTCTGTTCTCCTGGCCTAACTGGGTGCGACTGGAGATGCAGAAAGGAGATAGAAGACAGACATGCAGAAAGTTGGGGGCAGGTATGCTGGGCACTCAGGTGGAGACACACAACAGCCTTGTTGCTTCTTTTCTCTAATAACTCTTCTTTTACTCTGCTTCTTTTATTCTTTAAAACCTTACTTCTAAAGTCATCTTTTCTATAAAGTCTCTTTCCTTAGACTTGCTCTGTCCCATGTTCTCTCTTAGCTTTTCTTTAGCATAATCTCTCTTAAAGTCTTTGCCCTCAGACTTGTGCTGTCCCCACATTTTCTTTAATCTCTCTTGAAGTCTTGGTGCTCAGACTTGCACTGCCTGTGTTTCCTCTAATCTCTAGCATAACTCAGCAGCGGCAGCAGCAACATTCTTGCAAGCAGCCCATCAATCAATCAACAAAACCCCCATCAAAAAGCTTGTAGCCTCCTTCAGCAAGTCTTTTATACCCAGTGGTAAACAAGGAGGTGGAGCAACAGTTCTCTGAGGGACATGACATTGTAACAAGAGAAACCTGCCTTAACCTACTTCTCTGAACTTAAACAATTTAGGAAAGCAGCTGTTCTGCATTTTGCCTTCTTCCCTGGCTGGGGCCATGCCAAACTCAGCCTGTAGATCATTGAGCACAACTGTGCTTATGTCAAGTTCTCAGGCTTCTCATAATCTCCCCACAAATCATATGTCTACATGATAGGTAGGTTTACTTATTTCATGCAGCAGGAATCACAGGGTAGGCATTTGTGACCTGGTTGGTGCCTCTACAAGCCATCAAGCTCTCAGGTCTTGGGTTCCACCATTTGTATGTTAACCTTCATCCAACAACAACTCTGTCACCTTGTGGTTGCAGCATAGCTGTTGCATTCCCAGATGTTACCCTCACATTCCAAATGAGAAGTAGAAAGAGCCAGTGCCTTTATCAGGAAAGCAGAGGTGTGTTCCCAGAACCCCTCCTGCTACTTTTCACTGGACCAAACTGTGTCATACGGTTACCCTAGCTGCAAGAGAGTCTGTTGAAGCAGGAATTTGCAGCAAGTCTCATTAAGGCCTTGCAGTTTGGGTGTAAGGAAAAACAGCATCAGGGAGGCAATTAGCAGTGGCTACTGCGACCGTATAAACTGAGTGTACGGCTCTGGTTTTTCCAAGATTGTCACAATGAGGCATCTTTGGAAATGGATGCTGGGTGACCTGAAGTTGCCATGCACCTTGATGGGGATCTTATGTGGAAGGTGGGAGGCACTGGAGCTTGGGGGAGACAAGTCCCAGGAGCCAAGTACTATTGTGTAAGCTGCTAAGGCAAGACCAAAGCCCTGAAAGCATCCTTCCTAGATGCTTGAACCTGTCACAGGGAAGGATTGGGTGGGTCTTGATTACCACCTTTTGCAGGTGATAGGCCATCCACAGGGACAACTATACAAGCTATATCTTGTATAGCTCTATGAGACAGCTATATGAGCTGTGCTGGTCTCCCAGGAACAGATTCACCTTCACCCTAGCTGACAAGGTGTTTAAAAGTTTTGCACTCACTGGTGTTCTTCATCTCTCCCCACTTTAGAAAATTCAGCAGCTCTCAGAGGGCTCCATGTTTGGCCACGGCCTGAAGCACCTGTTCCACAGCCGCCGCAGGTCGCGGGAGAGGGAGCACCAGGTGTCTCAGGATTCCCAGCAGCAGCAGCAGCAGCAGCAACAGGGCATGTCTGACCATGACTCCCCAGATGAGAAGGAGCGCTCTCCCGAGATGCACCGCGTTTCCTATGCCATGTCTCTGCATGACCTGCCTGCGCGGCCCACCGCCTTCAACCGGGTGCTGCAGCAGATCCGCTCCCGGCCCTCCATCAAGCGGGGCGCCAGCCTGCACAGCAGCAGTGGGGGTGGCAGTAGCAGTGGCAGCAGCCGTCGCACCAAGAGCAGCTCCCTGGAGCCCCAGCGTGGCAGCCCCCACCTGCTGCGCAAGGCCCCCCAGGACAGCAGCCTGGCCGCCATCCTGCACCAGCACCAGTGCCGGCCACGCTCCTCTTCCACCACAGACACTGCCCTGCTGCTGGCCGATGGTGGCAGTGTGTACCTCCTGGCTGAGGAGGCCGAGGGCATCGGGGACAAGGTGAGATGAGGCAAGAGGAGGGCCTCGAGGGGCAACCCAGAGGCTGAGCCAACTACTCAGGGGCCTTGGGACCTGAGGACTGAGCTGGGTCCTGTGAGGTGGTACCGAAACCCACTGCCTGCCAGTTTCTGCCCTGACTGAAGGAAGCAGGTATTTGGCTAAGCCAAAACAAAGAGCTGGTTCTTCAAATGGCTAATTTTTATTTATTTAGGAGTTTGTTTTTCAAAATGACCTTGTTCCCAGGCTGATACTAATTTTGGTTTGTTTTCCTTAAACAGGCTGCAAAGCAGCAGTAAGTATAGTAGTTAAAAGCACAGACTAGAACCAAGCCTGGTTCTGCCACTTACCAGCTGGATTAATTCATCACTAACCCCTTTTTACCTCAGTTTTGCCAGCTGAAAATGGGGATAATAAGAGAAGAGGCATTGTATGATTAAGTGAATTCATGTATGTAAACTATATTTTTATTACTCCCAAAAAAGAAGATGGGGAGGAGACCAGGAAGACTTGCTTGGAAAGAAGAGTTAATTTGGCACTTCATGGATTTATATATCCATTTGTTTATTGATTTCTTATTATATACTACAAGAACAGCCGGCTGGCATTGATATCCTCATGCTGTTCATTGTCTAGAGGGGGTGATGGGTGAACAGGGCTCTGATGGGCACTATGGGAGCTTCAGGGCACTTGAGTGTGTGAAAGGGTGGGGAGTTGGCCAAGATCTTCTAGGGGAAACAATTGAGCTGAGTCTCAGAGTACAGCGTCTCTGGGAATGGGGGAGGGAGGGCTATGTACAAAAGCACATGAGCTGGTGCTGGGATGCATCTGCTTTTGGAAACCTGACAGGTAGGCAGAGGCCAGATCACCAAAAGTCTTGCCATATTGACTGGGAGTAAAGTGAAACTCAGAGGCTGTTAGGAAGGAAACTAGAGGGAGGAAATCCCTCTAGGGCTCCGCATAGATGGTAGATTGGGAAGGGGGACAGGACAGGCATCAAGGAAACCATTTTTGAAGCTGTTGCAGTCTAGGCTGCAGCAGTATGGATGGGAAGGAGTAGAGACATTCTGGAGACATTTGGGAATTAGAAGCTAGGTCTAGGTGAGGCAGTGGCTATGGAAAACTAAGGAGGGAGAGAAATAGAAGATAAGCCTTGGGCTTCTGGCTTAATAGTTCTGTGTTTGAGGTATCACAGGAAAGGAGTGGGTTCTAGGAGACGGTAATGAACTTGGTTTGGGAGTGTTGAGTTGCATGTGCTTTGCAAGCTGCTCAAGCAGAGGCTCCATCAGCAGGACATCTGTAGGGCAGAGGTCTGGGGTGGGGCTAGCACTCTGTGAGTTGAAAGAAGCCCTAAAGTTGAAGATGTTAAAGCCCTAAAGTTAAAGATGAGATCCTGAGTCATGTGTTGAGTGAAGAGGCCAAGGCCAGACTGATGGACATGGAAGGGACAGGCAGCCAGGTCTGACCTGCCACTCTGCCTCACTCGTTACCTCCTCCTCCTTTTCCTCCTTCTTCCTTTTGCTTCAGCATCATCTCTCTGCAGGTTTGCATCTGCACACCTGGCTGCCCTTATAGCCAAAGGAAGGAGCAGAGCTGAAGAGTTGCTGGTGACATGCTGAAAGATCGGGGGTAGCAAGGGGCTGGGGTTTGGACTAGATGGATGGACCATGAAACCTTGACTGGCAGAAAAGGAGGTGGTGGAGGGAAAAGGTTGATGATATGGAGAAAAGGAGATAGGTGTGTGAGGGAGTTGGAAAGCAGGTGCACTGAGGGAGGATATAAAGAGGAGAAGACAAATGCCATTGGGATTTAAGATTTCAGGGCTTGGCCCAGTGTGGTGGTACATGCCTGTAATCCCCAGCACTGGGGAGGTGGAGGCAGGAGGAACTCAAGGTCTGAGCCAGCCTGGGTTACATAGAAAAAAAACCAAGGGCTAGGGATGTAGCTCAGTGGTAGATTACTTGCCTACCACATGCACAGCCCAGGGTTCAATCTCTAGCACTGTAAAAAAAGAAAAAAAGATTTGGGGGCTTGGAGAGAGAAGACAAGGCTCACAGTATTCTCATAGAGGGTGGCAGATGAGGAATGAATGGAGAGAAATTTAATTTGACACAGCAAGAGTTAGATTGTCTATTGGTTATCACATGACCTTGAACTCCTGACTCTCAGCATGTGGTAGAGAGGAAGCCTGGGAACAAGGACTTTGCCTTGGGGGGGATGATGAGTAGGGGAGGGAGGCAGCAGGCAGCTTTGATAATTGGAGAGCAGAAAGGGAAAAGCCCCACAGCAGGTACCTCAAAGCAGATACCTTCACCCTGCCCATGAGGGTGGAGGTGAAGCTGCTGAAGCCACGTGGATGCTGGTCCTACCTCTTGCACTAGCTGTGGGAGAAACTGGTACCTTCATTAGAGAGGCCCAGGGAAGTGGAGCTGCAGCAAGAACATGCAGGTATATGAGTGCCCATCTGTGGGCAGGAGACAATCTGTCTGCCATGGAAGGTTAGATGACAGAGAAGATAGGTAGAGAGGAAGGAAGGGATTGTAGAAGGAAGGATGGATGACCAGAGAGTCCTGCCTTTGGGGGATGTAAGCATCAAGGTTCCACAGGCCACTCTAGTATAATGTTGGTTTGACCATCGGTTGTTGCTAGCACACGTTCCCTTCTCCACAAGAGATCTAGAACTGTCCTCACATCAATACTGAGTGTTTCTCAAGTTCTTGTGTCTCAGCTTTTAAAATGTTTGGAAGTTTATTGACTGAACAGACTTTGTGTGCCTGCTGTGGGCCTGGCACTGGAGAGCAGCTTGGGTTTGGCCTTGCCATTTCCCAGTGAAGGACTTGCTTTTGTCAACATCTTGTCATGAATTCATTAAAATGGTTCCATGAGCTAGATAAGTCAGGTTATGATATCCCATGTTTTTAGAGAGGAAATAAATCCAAAGAGGGGATATGACCTGCCCAAAGCCACAGAACTGGGCTAAATCTTGGGTCTGACCCCAAGCCTAGTGCTCTTCCCATATGCCTCTGCTCCTGCATGTACCAGCTGACACCGCAGCCAGGCGTGGGGCTCAGCCTCCTACTTGTCCAACCTGAGACTACACTTTGATATGATCATCACCCTTGTGGATGATTTTCCAGCAGCTGGTGGATGAACCACGAGCTTTTGAACCATTTCATTTATTCCACAAATGACCTTGATTCTGGATTTCGTGAAGACAAAGGACTTTCCACAAATGGTGACAGTCCATTTGTCCATCACAGAGCCTCAGCTGGTCAGCCATTGAGTCAACTGCTACCCCTTCCCTTCTTCTTCAACAGCTCAGTAGACATTTGCACCTGTGCCTTCCTGCTTCCTCTGTATTCAACAAATACTTATTGAATATCTCCTATGTGCCAGCACTATTGGGAATACCTCAGTGAATGAAAGCAATGAAAAAGCCCCTATTCTTATGGATCCTAGATCCTAGTGGGAGGAGACTATATAATGTATCTGGTAGTAAGAAAGCTAAGAAGCAAAACAAAAAGCAGAGGGTGGAGGCAGAGAATGGTGGAATTTGGCATGCTGTTTTGACCAGGTTGGTCAGAAAAGCCTCTCTGATAATGTGAGGGGGGTGAATCATGCAGATCTGGGAAAGGCATTTCAGGTAGATAAGCCAGTAAGTGCAATGGCCCTGAGGTAGAAATGAACCTGCAGGAAGGTAGGTGTGACAAGTGGAGTGAGCAAGGTGGAAGAGAATCAGAGAGACTAGCAGGAGGAGGGCAGGGGGCTGGATAGGAGTGAGGAGAACTGCAGATTGCATGGGGCCCAGTATGGGAGGAAAAGGACTGTTTTTGTTTTTGTTTTTATCAGAATTTCTTTCTATATTGGACATGGCCCCTGAGGTTTGAACTCGGGGCCTCACACTTGCTAGGCAGGCACTCTACCTCTTGAGCCATACCCCCAGCCCTAGTAAAAGGACTTTTAATTTTTTTTTTTCAAGTGAGATGGGAACTCATTAGAAAGCTTGGTACAAATGAGCAGCACCTTTTAAAAATACCATTGAGGCTGCTGTGTGGCAAATCAACTGTGACAGTGTGCCAGGACTGACCAGGGAGCGTGGTTAGGAAGCCATTGGCACACTCCAGGGGTGAAGCAGTGGTGGGACCCATGCAGGTGGGTGGGTGGGGTAGGGAATCTGGATTGTTCAGAGATGGAGCCCAAATGTTTTTGATGGATTGGGTATGGGCATGAAAGGGAGAAGTCAAAGATGGCTCACAGATTTGGGGCCTGACCACTGGAAAGAAGAAATTGCCAGGAGCTGAGTTGCAAGGAAGATGACAAATGAATCAACCGTTCTATCGGGGGCAGAATCAGCCAGGCTTTGGCTGTGTTTAGTTGGATGGCTATTAAACATCTCTGTGGAAATGCCAAATAAGCAGTCAGATGAACAAGTCTGGAGTCCCGGGGAGAGATCCAAGCTGGAGGCATAAATTTGGGAGTTGTCAGCATATAGATAGTATTTAAAACGGCGGGACAGCACCATTTGCAAGCCCAGCTTCCACTGGGGAAAAGCGTGGTCTAAGAGTGAGGTCTGAATGCTCTGGCTGAAAGGGTGGTGTGGCCTTGTGAAATCCAGAGCAGGAAGGGCCCCGCAGAGTGAATCGGGTCGTTCAGTCCTTAATGAGCAAACGCTGTGCAGGCAGCAGCAGCCAGGCCCACCTCTCACGGGTGAGTCAGTGAGTACATTTTAAAAATCAAATTAGAAAAATCCTGTCAAGTAGAGGGCTCAAGTACTGCAGCTTTTTTATGAAGAGGGAAAATGTGAACCTTGTACCCTGTAATTGCCTCAGGCTCCCATGCAGACCTCCAGCTGCCTGAGAAGGTGGAGTGGGGTGGGCAGTGGGTATTTTCTGCAGCTGGTGAAGGGTTGTTGATGGTTACTGCTTGGGAATGCATGGGTCTGGGGGACTCAGGGATGTGCATCAGCTGGGGAGTTTCTCTTTTCTGAGGGGCTTGTGTTTGTT